TATTTGTAGGCCCATCAGAAACCCCCTTACCCTCATCTATGTCCCCATTAGAGCCCCTTCCACATTTGTGCCCCCATCAGAGCCCCTCTGTACATTTGTGAGCCCATCAGAAACCCCCTTGCCCTCATCACTGATCCCAGTAGAGCCCATTCCATATTTGTGTCCCCATCAGAGCTCTCTCCCCATGGTTCTGTCACCTTCAGAGTCCTTTGCCCGATTTGTGTCCCCATCAGATAAATCCCCCCCGACATATTTGTATCACCATCAGTCTCTCCCAAATTTGTGTCCTACTTACATCAGTGTCCCTTATGCTAATTAGACTGTTTGGATCAGCTTCAGTGAAGATCTGTCAGACCCCCCGGCTGTAACACAGGCACATTGTATACAAAATTAAAGTGATAAGGGACACTGATGCTAAAAGAGGGGCTGGAGCCGGGAGGTGCAGCAGGTGGCATTGGTTGCCAGGATGTTGGCGGTCCTAGCAACCAATAACACAATGAGGCACCAGGTTGGGTGGGCTTTGTCAGATAGTGGGATGTGCGCTGCATACTGACATCAGGTCCTGCAACTTGACAAGTTTGAGCAGAGACCGACCCTGCAGTGAGTCTAACGACTTAAGTTGCAGGCCGGAAAAAAAACATCCTAGTGGGTCGGATGTGGAGACCCCTGGTTAAGAGAATGAAATACAACCAATGCATTTTGGGGGAAAAGCCTCCCCCTTCTTTTTGACCTATGTTAAAGCCTGATATAGGAAAGCATCTCCTAATGGTACTAATTACAGACAGAGTTCACATGTTCAGAGGCTGCAGACTACCCAGAGACATATAACATTTTCTAATTCAAATGTATTTCACTTTAATTCCTTAACACTTTACCACATCTCCCTATACCATAGCCAACATCATGTCTCACCAGGCTCAGAGCAGTGACCATCTCTAGTGCCAACTGGATTATCAGTGGAGTGTCACTCACTACATGTATGTTCTCCAAGACAGACTCGCTGTAATTCCTCATCCACTTTGTCATAGAACTGTCATGTGATAACTGGGATACTGAAATCAATAAAGTGCTGGAAAAAGAATAAAAAAGGGAAATCATGGTGTTCTGAAAGAAAAACAAATTCCAAAATCAGCTTTAGCACTGTTATAAAAGGACATTGTTGTTATTAAAAATACTGTATGTAAGTTAAAACCTCTCAGGACTCTATTGAAAACTGGAAAAACTTTAGATCCACTTAAATTGGATAATGTTAGATATGTCATTATGGTACATAAATGATGGAATCTTGGTGTAAACAGAAAAAAGATATACCAAAGTCGTTTCCTATTTTTCTACATGGGTCAACTTTCTCATGGTAGCAGAGAAGGCTGTGAGGAAGGATGTGACCAAAGGGGTGGCCGGAAGGGGTGGCTACCCTGGGTGCAATGGTTTACTGTAGGGTTGGGGATGCCTTCCTTCTGTTATAAGGCTGGCAGGAGTAGTGACAGTGGCAGTGATTTTGACAAGTGAGTGACTGCTAAAGTAGGATCCCCTAAGCTAGCACATCATGAATCTGGGGGTGGGGGCACAGTTTGACATCTTTGCCCTCGGTGCTGGATGACCTTGTCTCGGCACTGGACATGACCATTCCATTGATCTTGACCTCACCGGTTCAATGCCAAAGTCCAAGCTCCCTGCATGTCTTCCACTTCCACATACACCTGAATCTCTCCAAACTCCCTGCCTGCAGGAGGCCGTACACTGTTTCGGCTTTTCAGTCCCCGGTATAAATGGAGCTTCTGACAACCTGTGGCAGAGCAGAGCCCAACTGACAAGGAGTAGAGGAGCTGAGTGTCCGAATCAGGATCCCTCCATCCTAGCAGAGAAAAAGAATCCATTAGTATGATCAGTCTATGAAAGGATTCTAGAGATGAGGTTCTCCTATTGCTTTGGATCTAACTGTCAAAGAGCATATACGTATATTTCCCAAGGCAAATTGCAGCAACATATTGTGACCAATCAGGAATCATCTTTCAGGTTGTGACTCTTTTAAACTAAACAAAGGTGACATTAATTAGCTGGCATTGTCTATTTGACTAATTTAACTGCCTTTTGTCTAAAAAGCATTTAATTAAAGAGAGTCTGTACTGTGATTAATATGAAAACTGCCATTGCTCCTGTCTTCTAAAAATGCCAGTTGCCTGGCTCTATGCTGATGTAATGACTTCAGTGCTTTTTGAGTCACCACCCCCTTATACTCAACTTGCTTTATGCTTTCTGAGTCACATTCTTGGAAGTGACAATCCTTGTGTACTGTGTTTAATTATCTAGCTGGCACTAAATTGGTGTTTTGGGATCGCCTAATTAGGCTACCATGCCCAAAACTGGTTCCTATTTTAACACCTTAGAGTCTCTCTGCAGAATATTTATACTCCCCTATGGTGCAATATAATTATACAACTCCCTAAACATTCTGAAAGAAATTCTTCTCAGCTCTACCCCACCACTGCTACAGTCTCCAAGGAGCTGGGGTTTCCACCTCACCCCTTTAAAACCAAACACATATTATTTACACAGGTTCTGTGGCTTATTAAGGTGGTAATTAACCTCACTTAGTGCCTTATCTGCTTTAAATTAACCTCAGAACCTGTGTCATTAGGATGTGTTCAGTTTTAAAGGGATGAGGTAGCAACCCAAGCTGGACCCCCTACATGACCTCTGCAGCCATCTTAGGTAGGGCAGAGATTATTTAAGTCCCTGACTCCCTGGATTGGTGCGCTTTGTGCGAGTGGGTAGTGTAGGGACAAAGATCCCGTCTGCTAAGGACAGTGCTAGTGGTAGGGAGAGGTTCCAGATGAGTAGGGAAAGAGCAGGAATTACACAATCTCCATTAAGGAAGCCTTCCATTTGGGTTGGCATTTCCGCTCCTCGTTGCACAAGCTGTCCACATCGTTCAAGCTACTTTATCTCTGCTGTACATACCACAAGTGGCTCAGAGCGGCTGTACTCACCCACAGGCAGAGCTGGTAAAAAGAAGATATTTCCCATCTCCCCGCTGGCACACAGAGTGATCATGCAAATGCGCACAGGGTGATTAGCGTGTGCTTGGGCACATCGGCACACCCTGTGCACATGCCTGTGTTACAGAAGATGACCAGGCAGTGCAGACATGCAGGAAATGGTCTGATAGTACAGACAGGCTACAAGAGATGATCAGAGACTGCAGACATGATACAGGAGACAGAAATTGAGGACGTGCACTGGGATTGAACACATGCTGCAGGAGACATTTAGAAACAAGGGACATGTTAAATGAGACTGCAAGAGATCACGGTCATTAAAGCCCTCTTTATAAATCAATGCTTCCACTGCTGTTGGGGTCCTATGGACACACAATAAATTTGAAGCAGTCACGGGGCACTAGAGTCATGATACATACTGATGGAGTAGAGTTTGGTATTAATAGTCCTTCTCAACATCACAGTGCAGGCAACAACACATAAAGGAGACAAGGTTCTAGCAAAACACCAGAAGGTGACAACTGCAAATGTACATTCTTAGAAGCCATCAGCAGTGGGAACAACCCAGCATCGCATTGACATTACAAATACGATATACCTGTGGCTGCAGTGTGATATTTATGTGGCAACTCACCTGTGCAGGTATACTCCAAGAGAGTGTCTAACCACATGAGAGTGTGTTGGGGAAGCAGTGAGCACTTCCCCCCAGTTGGCGGCATATTTGGCATAAGGGTGATACTGCTTTCTCCCCAATCAGATCCTCTCTGCTGAGCGACCCGCAGGTAGAAAGTATAGGACAGATGATCCTGCAGGACCCCTCTGCGGATTACAAGCTCAGGGCTCCCAGGCCCACTGGTGGTTATGTTCCTGTCCAATATCAGAGGATGTCCATTTGAATCAATAGCACTCCAAGTAAACTGAAATACAGGAATAGCATCTGTGTATGTAATTACACATGAGCGATTAATTGCATTACTAAATCGAAATTCAAATGAAATTTTCGATATTAGGAGATTTTGATGTATCCAAATTTCCAAATCACAATAGTAACAAATTTCAACGAATCTGAAACTAATTACAACAAAATGAATTATCCAAAATTCGAAAATTAATTGGAATTTGAATTTAAAACATATTGCAATAAATACAGTAAGGTATAAAAGTGAATTAAGATAATGATTCCTACTTAGGCTGCTTTATAGAATAGAATAGAATAGAATAGAACAGAAGAGAAAAAAAATAAAGGAATAGGATAGAATAGATTAGACTAGAATAGATTAAAATAAAATAGAATATAAAATAAAGGAGTAGCATATAAAAAGGATAGACTAGAATAGAACAAAAAAGAATAGACCAGAATAACAAAGAATAAAATAAAACAGAATAGAATAGAAAATAACAGAATAGAAAATAATAGAATAGAAAATAATATAGTCATCTTCTGAAATTCAAAATTTAGATTTAAAATTGATTTGAAAATAATAAATATACAAAATTAATCTGAATATACAAAATAAATTACAAAAATGAACGTGACAAAATGAAGTTATTTACTTAATGAACAATTCTGAAACGAAACAATGTTTTCTGTTGCACATCTCTTTATATAATATAGCACCCAGCCTTTCAGATTAACACACATATCAATGCCTGCCCCATCACACTTGACTCCTTTCTAAAATGGACTAAAACTGTAGTTACCTAACATTGAAACTATTGAAACGTATGATTTAATACCATTGCATATATTTTTTTCCATTACATTGTAGGAGTTTCTCACCATTGTATCATTGTGGCAAGTATCACATTCACCATACACTATCACAGGCCCACGAAGTCTGAACTTATAGGGCGATGATAAATGGCATGACATGCATCGAACAAAGACCGGTAACACTTTGCCAGGTTGAAGAAAAACCTGTAGAGAGACAGAAAGACTGTAAATAGTACGTATGCATTAAAATCAATTGTTGTCACCAACACGTTTACCAAATTTTTCAGAGATGCAAGACAATTCAGTAAACAAACCTAAACACCATCATAGATTATGCCAACACAGGGGCGGACTGACAACTCATGGGGCCCCCGGGCAATAGGGGATCATGGGGCCCCTGTGTCCTTGTCCAAACTCAAAAAAACCCATGAAAAAGGTACCAGGGGCATCTCATGGGGCCCCTACTGACCCCGGGCCCTCGGGCAGTGCCCAAGTTTCCAAATGGTCAGTCCGCCCCTGTGCCAACATCATTCATTATATCATTGAGTTAGCAAGTTAATGCAAGATCAAAACAGGGACTGGACCCCCGGCCCTATGGGAACTGATATCTATGTCCATCACTGAGCATCCAACATTCTCCCGGGTATGACCACATAGGGGTTGGTTTTAGGCTGGTTGGTTTTAGGCTACCCACATGGAAGTAAAATATATTTGAAATATATTTTTAAATATTCTTCCCAAATATAACGACATATTTGAAATGCTACAATTTTGGCCATATTCAATATATTTTAAAATATATATATATATATATATATATATATATATATATATACTGTATGTTGAAATGCGTTTTTATTACAAAATATATGAAAAATATTTTTAAAAATACATTTAAAATATACTGTATGTCTTTAAAAAAATACAAATCTACATTTTTGGAATGCATTTACAAATATATGTAAAAATATATGTTAAAATTACTTTTTTATATGTTAAAAAAACCCTAAAGAATATATTTTAAAAATATATATTTTTAAAAATGTTTTTTTTTAAATTGCAGTATTTCAAATATATGTCAATATATTTGGGAAGAATATTTTTTAAATATATTTAAAATATATTTTTTCTTCCAAATGGGTAGGTTCACACTTGAGCAAGTGGATGCGGGAATCTCAGCTGTTCCCGCACCCGCAACCACCTACAGCCAAATCACGCTGCTCTGTAAAGATGTGCGGGGTTGCCGTTCATTTTTAATAAACTAGGAGAATCCAGTGTAGGTTCAGTGCATCTATATGGAGAACATAGGAGCTGAGCCTGTTTTCCTGACTCAGAGTTGCTCAACTATACAGAAGAGTTGTCATATACTGGAACTAAAATGTAAATCTTTGTTTATATGCTTCCTAATTAATGCCATGGGAAACCAATGACAAGTATTTTTTCACAGAACTTCTAAAATTATAATTGGGTTTAATTATGTGGCAATTTAATAATATTTTCATATAATTCAGTTGCACTTACGATTTGCTGGGCCATTGCTGCACGTCTTCCAGGCTTCCGTACCGTTAGGGTAAAGATGAATGAGTTATTTTCACAAAGTGCTGCCCAAATGACTGAGATCCTTGGTAGACCAGGCAAAGAAGGCAAGGGGCAGGATGTACCCTTAGAAACACATGAGTAAAAATAAATAATTAAAGTGACATAAGCCATAACCATTACAGAGGACCTTACTTATTGAAGTCCCTCCTTACGTCAAAGTTCCCCTTACATCAGGGTCCCCCTTACATCAGGGCCCTCTTACATTAGAGCTCCCCTTCACAAAAGTGTCCTCATCAGGGTCCTCCTTTACATGAGAATTCCCATCAGAGGCCCAATCAGATTCCCCCTTACATCAGAGGCCTTATGTAGACAATATGTTGCCTCTGGAGACCCTAATTCTTAATCTGTGTACATTGAGGATATGCCACAAACACTAGCTGGGGGCCAGATAAAATCTTGGAGGGGGCTGAATATTGCCCTTGGGCGGTAGTTTGGAAACCCATGCAGCATAAGCAGGGAGAATATGGTGGCCACTGTGCAGGATACAGACTGTTCAAAATGGGTTCTTTCTGCAAGAACTTTATTAAATAAAGACCAGTCTATATGTGGAGCTACACCAGCAGGAGCCGCTGGATTTGATTGGGTCCCCCCCAAGCTTTGCACAGCCAGGCAACACACATTTTCCACGTCCTCTCGCACAGCATCATTAAGACAGTCATTGAGCTGGTTCTTAGTTGTTTTTATTGAGGGGTTAAAAACTTTGATGGGGTCTAGGGGTATATGGAATGACCAAGAAACTGCAAACTTGAGGACCAACTGTCTAGCAAATTGTATACTATACAAAAAATGTGGATCAGGAAAATAACGCTGTCTCTTTAAGGAGAACTAAAGTCCCCTTAATGTACCTCCTCAGACTGCAGATGAATCCTTCCTCTTCACCCAGCTGCACTGAGGGTATCCCTGGGCAAGGGATTCCAAGAGCTAACAATTAGGTAGTCCCGGATGAGAACTGGTTTGGTCTTGCACCTGACCACCCTCTCCGTTTGTCTGGCCCAGAAGCTGTAGAAGTACTTACACTCTCCTGTCCTCTTAGCTTCATAGGTTGGTAGCTGATTTCAGGCCTTACCCTGGGCTGGCTCCTTCCATGCTGCACAGGATGTCCTCCCAAGGAGACTTTGGGCAGAGCAGATCCTTATTTCCAATATCCCTCCTGTAGGTAGGCTCTCCTCCCTTGTGTTCCCTCCGAGGTTTCACACTCCAGCCTCCTCCCAGTCCATCTTCCACCCGACTCCAGCAACAACTCTCCTGCTGCATAGACTCTGTCACATTTTATGGTTGCCCTTAGCCACCTTGCCTGGCCTCTTACCTGGGGATTGGCCAAGTTCCCCTAACATGCAATTCTGGGCCTCCTCCCCTTCTCCACCCTCTTCCAGAAAGTTATTGCAGTTTGGAGGGTAGGAGGGCTCCATAAGCCCTGACCTAGCCTCCTAGCCTGTCCTGAGGTGAACTCACTCTACCTCACTCCCAGGCTGACTCATCCCAGGCTGCTACCCAGCCACTAAACTAACAAAACAACAAAACCTAAAGGGGCGCTACATATAGGTGGTCGAGGAGTATGTTTGTTTTGGACAAAATAAAATTAGCATGGTAGATTTGGGTGTGACAGGCAACACACAATTTATCATCCTTAAAAAATTAACTATTAATAAACCAGCTTTCTTTAATGGACTGCATAGTAGCATTCAGATTGTAAGAGCAAGGAGCAGTGCTATACGTCAGTGAAGTTTTACTGCATTGCACAATGCTGTAAATCTAACATATAGAGCTTGCTGATTGGGGAAGAGAACACAGATATGACCTTATCATGGAGTTGCTGTTCCTTCATTATCCAATCACAGTCCTGACCAAGCTATACTGCTTGGACTGCAGAGAGGAACAGTAAAGGGTCAAGGCCTTGTTGTTGTGTCTGGACTGGAAATTGGCTTGAAAGTTTTTTCATCAGGTAATAAAGTTTACAAATTGGTATTGCAACTGTGTGGTAACCTTTTTGTATACACCTTACCTGAAACTCATTTACCCGAATTCCCAAACTTAATCTATATATCCTAGCCCAAAATGAAACCTAATCATAATCACTTTGTATAACCATACCAATACCCATCGTCCTGTGAACTATCATAGCAATATTTATTGCTGGCAAAAAAAAAAAATAACACTCCATAAATATGTTTGGGAATCCAGGTGCCAAATACAACTATTTGGCTCTCAGCCGCATTCTAAACCTATTCTATCTAACCCTGTAAAGAAGAGATTGCTATACTTACCTATTCTGTAGCCGTTCTGGTCCACTCCCACGCTTAGCTGTCAGAGGCGGCTTCAGTGTGTAGGAGTATGTAGGAGAGGCAGCTGACAATGGAAGCCCCATAGTAAATCTAAGGGTTACATCCAGGGGCGGACAGACAACTCATGGGGCCCCTGGGCAATAAAGGATCATGGAGCCCCTGTGTCCTTGCCCAAACTCAAAAAAGCCTATGAAAAGCGTACCAGGGGCATCTCACGAGGCCCCCTACTGACCCCAGGCCCTCGGGCAGTGCCCGAGTTTACAAATGGTCAGTTCACCCCTGGTTACATCACTTCCCATGCATTTCACAGCTGCCGCTGGAAACTGGACTGGATCAGCTTCAGAAAAATAAATATACCGATTTTTGCTTTACAGGCAGTGGAGTATTTAGTTCATGTGCTGCCCTAGGCAACACTAAAATCGGGCGCCCCACCCCAGCCGCCACCACTACCATCACCGCCTATCACCACAATTTCCCTCCACCGACCAACACCCCCATGCCCAGCCACCACCACTCGATTCAAGCACTGACCTTACCTTTAGAATCAAAGAAGCAGCTGGCCATCCCCCACCCTTGCCCCCCCCCCTGAAAACTGCCGCCCTAGGCAAATGCCTTGTTTGCCTTGTGGTAAATATGCCACTGTTCACAGGGTTAGATAGATTAGGTTTAGAATGTGGCTGAGAGTAGGTTTAGTGTTTGACTGAACTTCCTTTTTATGTGGATGCTAATTTATTTGCACTTAGTATGTATGGGCAGATCTGCACAGGTTTGCCTCGCCAAGGATTTAGAAAGTCCAAAAAAAGTAAATACAAGTGAGCGCTGAAGAACCAATAAAAAGCAGCTAGCACAAAAAAAATGAACCCCCTCATCCACAGAAATGATAAAATATATAAAGGTCCAGCGCTAAAATCAAATATCACATACAGTAGATTGAAACATATAAATTGTAGTCATATACAGTATGTCCTCATAAAATAAGCAAATAATACACAAAAAATATTTATATTACGTATTAAATTCCCAAGTGAAGTGTCGTTAGGTACAACAAAAGTTCATCAGTGAAAAGGCTGTGATAATCAGCAATCATGAAAGAAGTGACATCCGTGTGAAGAAAAAAAAAAATAAAAATCCGTGACAATCCTCCACCACTATGCACTCACCAGAACTACAATAAAACCAGGCCTTAAACAGAGAAATCCCTTGCAATACAGAGCCTACAGTGCTCGCAATACAGAGCCTTTTTTGACAGGCCAATAGTTTTCAGGTAGAGAGCAGGCAGATTGCATCTGGCCTCTAGGTTCTCCAACCTTCCACCAAACATCACCCAGGGTGGCGTTTGGTGGCGTAAGGTTGGAGACCCCAGAGGCCAGATGCAATCTGCCTGCTCTCTACCTGAAAACTATTGGCCTGACCAAAAAAAGGTCTGTATTGCGAGCAGGGGCGGACTGACCATTTGGAAACTCGGGCACTGCCCAAGGGCCCGGGGTCAGTAGGGGGCCCCATGAGATGCCCCTGGTACCTTTTTCATAGGCTTTTTTGAGTGTGGGCAAGGACACAGGGGCCCCATGATCCCCTATTGCCCGGGGGCCCCATGAGTTGTCAGTCCACTCCTGATTGCGAGCAGTTCTTACAGGATCCTATC